AACCATGCCAATGTGAGGCTTTTTGGAACATGTTTAGAGGGTGGAGGTCCCTTTAGAAATAAGGCTGAAACCTTGTGCAGGATATGGGAGAGGTGCCAAAGGGTTGGAACTTTATTGCACAGGCAAGATGAAACTACTGCAGAATTTTGAATAAAGGATAACTGTAGAATTTGAAAAGATTAATCCTTGGTGTGGTAGAGGAAGAAGAAAATAAAAGCAAGGAGAGGACTTAGATGCCTGGGAATCCAATGCAAAGAGTGTTTTGCAATCATGACCCTAAGGAGGAAGAAAAGGAGGATGAAAGCTAAACAAATTCATATGACTCTCCCATGAGCTGAGACATAGAAAGAAGGTATTCAGATGGAAAGAAGAGGCATGCTGAGGCATAGATAGAGCATTTTCCAGAGTTGGAGGAACATATTGGGAGAATTAAAGCTCAAAATCAATTTGGGGCAATACATAATGTCCAAACCATGCAAAGTTAACTATAGAAACAGAAGTAAGAATATGTAAGGGGGCCTTTTCTCTGGGCAAATGATGTAATATTGACAGATGGCAAAGAGGAAACTTCAACTTTTATTTTGCTTCCAACTGACAATGTCAAGGAGAGGATTTTCAGGCTGAAGATAGAATGTGGGGTAGAACAAGTATGGTAGCTGAAGACTGCAGAATGGACAAAGAAACTATAGGAAACCATCTCTCTGTTCTAGTGGACTGTATTTAAGAAAGTGGAAAGAACTTGTAGTGATATCTCAGCCTCTGTTGTGACCTGAGAGAAAGCTTACAGAAAGTGAACACTGCTTAAAAAAAAGATGTATGTGTGTGTGCAAATGGAATTTTTAATTAAAAAAATGTAGACTTCACAAATTGCAAATGAGTGATCTTACTGCCATTTTGGGGGATGATTCTAAGACCACATAAGAGGAGGATGACTTGTGGGTTCCTGGAAGAAGAAGTGAGGAGCATGAGAGTACATAGGTCATAGAAAAACATGATCAAACCTTCCTCTTCATAGGTTCACATGACTATTAAGTGGAGGAGTTATTACCTAAAAGGATCACTAACAGTCAGGAGGTATCAGAACCCAGAGAAGAGCAAGTATAAAGAAGAAAAGAACAAGGGATATTTGGCATGGAGGAATGAAAGCCTCATGATGGCTGATCAAGTATGAGAAGGACTATTACATGGATGATGAATCACATACCATCTGTGGGTCTCTAGCAGGCGAAAACAAAGGTCAATGGGAAAGAGATACGGGGGCCCAGTAAGGGGAGATCTATGAATCCCATGTTGCCTAAAAGTGCAGTGGGCTGCTTGAATTCCCCCATCACTTCAAGTATACAAGCAGAAGCTGGTCATTCACTTTTTGGGAAATATTCTAGGAGAGATTCATGTATTATTTTGTGGTTGACTCTGAAGTCCCTTCTGATTTGGGGTTTTTATGACTGCAGGACAGTGCTGGTGTAAGTGGGAGGGAACAGTTAGAAACACAGAGATAATGATGCCATTGCTAATAGGATAGAAGGAATTGGAAGGAGATCAATCAAGTGAGGAAATCTAGACGAGGTAATCACAGAAAGATAGCCATAAAGTCATGTAGTCTAGATGAAGTGTCCATCATCTTCTTATTCCCAAATGCAACAGGGCTGCCCAAGATAATCGCACTTCAGAGGAGGATGTAAGTCAACATCTTTCATGCGGTGTTTGAGATACACCAAGGACAAAAATTTCAAAATACAGTGTTAATGATGTTCAAAAAAGAGGAGGGCAGTCCCACATGTGTCCCTTTTCCAAGTAGGGCGTGAAACACAGAACAGCTGTGGACCATGGGAGAGTGGATAAGGTACATCCTTGGAAGTAGGCCTAAGGTAAGCTAGGGAGAAAAAGTTAAAAAGCAAGAGCAAGAAAGGGATGGAATAATAGAAGGGTGAGGAAAGGTAAGAACAAAATGAGCAGGTACATGTATTGCCCACACGCACTACTGGGCTGTCAAAGGTCTCAGATGCTGATTCTAAAGAGAGGAGACTGAGGCCTTAATGCTGGCTGTGCTCTGACTTCCAGAGTGACCCCGTAGGTGTCATTTCACCACTTTGCTTCCTCTCTGTTGTCATAGCCAGGCACCCTATTAGTCTAAAAATGCTCTGAGCTTTAGGAAAGAAAATAGCTTCAGAAATTTCAGATGTCCTACACTTCATTCGTTTCTCTATGTTCAAAGGTGGGAGAGGGAGAACTGAAAAAGAGAAGGGTAGGTGAAAAGGAAGGTGAGAAGACAGTGTGGCCAAAGTCGGTTGATATCCTAGGGAACCACGAGGGCGGGGATCAGTCCCTAGGTCAGCCAGGTACTTCAGAATTTCCAGCGGTTATCCTTAGGTTCTGCTATCCCCTCAGTAAATCCAGAATCCAGGTGCCAAAAGCAAGGGACGCCCCTCCCCCACTAGATGGCACTGAAACTCCTTGTTCAAGATTTTCAAAATGCAGGAAAGGGGAAAAAATGACAAAAAGAATATGGTGGAGGTGTGCTCATTTTGACTCATAAGCCCCTGGTGCAAAGCCAGGTACCTGGCACTCTTTCCGAGGGCAGCTCTTTGCCCAGTAGTGGGGAATCTCGACCTTGGAGTGAGAGTGAAAAAGAAGAGTGAGCATTAGATCCAGTGTGTGGAGATGAGAGAGAGGCCCCCAGCCTTTGCGGCGCGGTCTCACGTGAGCGAAGCAGGGGGTTGGGGTTTGGGTGAAGCTGACTTGACTAGGGCTCATGCATTCAAGGTCTGGGGTCCGGCCCTACCTCCCAGAGCCTTTGCAGAGCCTATCTAACCGCCACCTTAAGATAATGACAAACCCTACACCAAGGTTGCCTTTAACCCTCTCAAGGAGCGAGTTACTGAACAGCTTTCAAAATATACTAACCATCCCATCCCTCCCCCATTACAATTCTCTTCTAGTCTTGAAAGGATCAAATTTCTTTTCGTTTCCTGCTGAAGAGGGAGGGGAGGTGGAGGTGGGTGTGTGTAGGGGTGCGGGGCGCTGGCTTGGGGCTGGACTGTGGCTGACTGTGAGCCCCGCGGTGGTAACGCCAGTAGCTACCAAGGTAGTGCCTGAGGCTTTCTGCGGGAAAACAAAAATCAAATACAGTCCAACATACTAGCCACCAAAATCCGGGTGTAGGGGTTCACTCAGCTAGTGTAAAAGCAGCAAGCAGTCTTTTCTTAAAAAAAAAAAAACAAACCAAAATCTGGCGAATTTTAGGGAATTTTCCACGGCTTAAAAGAGAAACAACAGATGTAGGCAACATTCCTAAATTTATAATAATACATGTAAACATGCTACATGCCACATATATGTGTATGTGCATAAATATAGATGTGTTTGAGCACATACCTATCTAGACACCATTGACTTGCCTGGCCGAAGAATAAGGCTTAGACATTTCGTGCCTGGAAATTGGTGCAGTTTAACTTTAAGAAGGCTAGAAAAATAAGAGATGAGGCTCACGTTGCACGGATGACATCACTAGCTTTTGGCTGCGCGCTCCGTGTTCTCGTCTGTGGGTTTTAGCCAAGGCTGCAGCGCCCGGCGGCCGAGCGAGCGAGCGCGGCAGCGGCTTCTGGCGCCCCACACCCGGGAAATGCGATTTCTCGAGGCTCTGGGGCGCAGCCTGGGCTGTCGCTTCTCCCGGGCATCGGCAGAGCCTGCGAGGCCTCGGAGCCACCGTGCCTAAGGAGGAAGCAGGGAGTGGAAGCCGAGCGACCCAGCCTCCCTCCCCCACCTTCGCCCCAGTCATCTCCGCGACCGACGCGCGCCGAGGTCGGGACTGGATTCTCTGCACGCTGCCGAGCTAACTGGCATCTCCGCGCTCGTGTGGGCTGCGAAGAGAATGGTGCAACCTGAGAGCCGCTGACCCCAGTGGGGCAGAGGAGAGCCGGTGCTAGAGTGCCAGGGCTCAGCTGGCGGGAGAAGGGGGCGGGTTGTTTAGAGGAGCCAGGACCTGGGTTTTCCTCCGTCCCTGCAGCATTTTCTTTGCACCTGGGCAGCACGCTCCCGGAGCTGCGGAGAGCCAGATGAAGTGAGGCGGAGGCGTGTCTGGAGGCGGCCGAGTGGACACTCCAGGAAGAAGGCACAGGAGAGAGAAGCATGACCCCCGGAGAGCTGCCTGCAGGGTCGGCAGCGCGCGGCGACTGCGCGACTGTCCATGGTTTTGAAGGCGCGGTGCGCCAAGCTCCGAGCGCCGGGCGCCAAGAGCCTTGCCGGGTGCGCCCTCCTTTGCGCAGTCCGCCCCTCGCGCCCGTCAGCTGCCGCCCAGTCTCCGCAAACCCCGGGCCAGGACTCGCTTGTCACGTAACACCGCCCGGGTGGCCGCGCCGTCCGTGGAGGGGCCGTGTGAATGGCGAGGTTAGGCAACTCTGGAGCTTGCAGGAGAAGGTGGGCAGAGACCGTGCGCCGGTGGGAAGCCAGTGTCTGAGAGCCCGCGTGGGCCAGAAGGAGCAAAGGCCAGAGGACGGAGATTTTTCAAACACCTGAGCCACAGAGGAAGAACATTTCTGGGCGCGCATCCCGAGTCTTCGGTTGCATATTGGAAAGGGCAGAGTCCCTGAGAAGACATCCCAAGCGGGACTCAGGGCAGCGGCCCCGGCATCCGAAGGTTTCCCTCGTCCGCCGGCAGCGGGTGGGTTTCAGTTCATCCTGTGATCCAGCCTCTTCCTGACGCTCCCTGCCCATCTTCCCCAGAAAGCCAAGAGAGTCGATCCTGTCACCACGCTGCACAAAGAAAACACCAGCAAGCCCACCGCAATCGAGGGCTCTTGGTATTTAGTTTCCGGACCCAGGGCAGCGGCGGCCGAAGCCGGGCTGCGAGCCGAGGCGGCCGGTTCGGATCAATCGCTTCCTACTGGGCGGGGAGGGGGCGGGAAGCCGCCGTGCTGAGTTCGCCGCCGCCCCAGGCTGCGCCTGCCCCGGAGGATGATCAGAACTTTTTAGGCTTCCCGCCCCCATCCCCGCAGTCCTCCGGCCGCGCAGCGGTAGGTGGGGGCCCAGGGGGCGCCGCGGCGCGGGCCCCCCTCCCATCCTCTCCCCCCCAGCTCGGCCGCCCGCCGCTTTGTTCCGGGCGCGCGGAGGGAAGGCGAGGCTGCGGCGGATCATGCCCATGGTGTAGTCGCGAAGCGGAGGCATGGCTGCCGGAAGGCTACTGCTCTACACCGGCCTCTCGCTAGCGCTCTGCGCCCTCGGCATGCTGGCTGTGGCCATCTGCTCCGATCACTGGTACGAGACGGACGCCAGGAAGCATAGGGACCGGTGCAAGGCCTTCAGCACCCGCCGGGTCGACCCTGGCTTCATTTACAACAGCAACAACAACCTGCCTCTCAGGGCGAGCCGCTCGCGCCTGGACCGCTGGGAGGGTAAACTCCTCCGGGCCAGGAATCGCCGGCAGCTCTTCGCCATGAGCCCCGCGGACGAGTGCAGCCGGCAATACAACTCCACCAACATGGGCCTCTGGAGGAAGTGCCACCGGCAGGGCTTCGATCCGGAGATCGCTGCCCTCATTCGCAAAGGTAAGCGCGAGGCGTGGCGCTGCGGGGAGCCAGGCGCCTCTGTAGATAGGCCCCGCAGACCCTCGCCTCTCCCGACCGCCGTAGACTATCCGATCTCCTGGTTCCGGCAGGTCCACTTATCCAGGCCTGGTTGAGCCTCGGAGCAGACAGAACTGGCTTCCGTTTAGCTGATAGTGGCGCATGGTGGAGGCTTCACTCTCTGTTCGCCTGCTGTCTTGCTCTTGTCTGGCCACATTTGCGTGGAATCTCATCTAGGGTTTTTTAATCCAGGATAATGCTTCATCAGCTTCTGAGAAAGAAGGGAATCCATTACGTTTTGCTCCTGGAGGAAGCCCTTTAAGAATGATGTGTCAGGGTTAACAGGCTCTGAATTTTAATCTTTGTTTTCGATGTTGAACTGATCCAATCAAGGGAGATAGAGAGAAGGCCTTCTTCATTCCAGAAGCATTACTGACTGATTTCTACAGCAGGCATGGGACAGGCATTGCTCACATAAACATCAATAAGTCACAGCTCCTGCCCTGTAGCAGCTCAAAGCCTGTTGGTCAGTAGCTTCATGTCACAATCCTTTATTTCTCCTTTTAAAAAAGCGGTTGACAAAAGTGAATTGTGTGCAGTGAATATCGATAGGGTCTAATAAGTCCCCCACCTCTAACATAACACCAAAGTGGGCATTTCAGAGGAAAAAAATTACCATTTTCAGAAGAAAGTCTACCTAAAACAGGAAACAGGCTGTGTTTGCTAATGATAAAATTTGATAATTTAATATGGTACTTAAATTAAAAATTGTACTTATTTGATGCAAAGTATAGATCTTGTATGATTTATATGCTGGAGGCCATCCTGTTCCATCAGCCTACTGAAATGTTGTTTGATGTGACATGTGTTAATGTTGCTCAGAAGAAGGAATATGTTCTCTTCTATGGTGGTTGTGCCCTGGGAAGATGTGTAAATTTTGTGATCTTGCTTCTCCCTCTCCCCATGTTTCATTCTCTTCAACTATTAAATGGTGATGACATCCATTTTTGTCACCTTGCTATTATTTGCAAAGTGCTTCAAGGCCAAGACTTAGAGCAATTCTTAGCACCTCTTATTATAATACCGTAAAATTGCTGATGTTTTAAAATAATCTATGGAAACTTGATATGCTTTGATTTACACATGTGTTGAAATTGATCAGAAAGAATTGTTAACTTAAGGCTGGTGGAATGGCTCAGGTGGTAGAGTGCCTCCCTGGTAAGCACAAAGCCCCAAATTCAAATCCCAGTACCACTGAAAAAAAATGTGGGTTTATGTAAAAAAAAAATTCTGTAAAAATTGTTAACTTGAGAAAACAAAGTATACTGTTTAAGAATGACAAACAATTGGCAGGGTCTCATAGGCCAGTTCACATTTTGGAAGTGAGATAGGTCTGGAGAGAGAATCCATCCTGGTGTTTGTTGTGTGGCTTCTTTAGAATGACTATGGATTTCAGTTGACTTAGTTATGGGTGTGTTCATACTACTAGCATCCCATCTTCTTCATGACCAGGCTCTTACTAGAGCAGGGTGACCCATGTGGAGCTCTGCAACTTTGTAAAGACATTCAGGATGTTAGGGGATTCCAGAAGAGAGCAACTTGGACTTGGACTGAGAAGTAGGAAAACTAGAGGAAGTAGAACGTTTTTGACAGTGAGTGGTTTCACAACACTTAAGATTTATAAGGTGTTATTTTACCCATCATTTTCCACTTTCTTTAAAATGAAATGGTAGGAAGTTAGCTGAAATGTGAGGGGAGAATTCATGTCAGTAATGACTGGTAAATGCTGGTAGGATTTGCTGAAGGACATTCTTGAATTTCCTTTCTTGAACATTATAGAATGAGACAGATAGTCTGTGTCTGGTATTGGTTGACCTCACTTAAAGAAGAGGGGATGGAATTCAAGGCTTCTTGTGGCTCCATCCAGAGTTCTGATTCTGTGGTACTCCTTTTGGCAAACTGACTAGAAAGGTTGACTTGGTCTGTGCACCAGAGGGATTGGTTACCATAGTGACGTGTTCTTCTGGTGAAGCTGGAAACACAGTGACAGGGAAAGGGATAGGGGAAGAATGCACAACATTTTGAGTTTGTATCGACTGATTTTTAATTGCAGCAACTGAAAATGGACACTCACAGCAGGGGAACTGAATACACTGATACCTCAAGTTGGCAAGGGATTGCATTTCACAGGAATGAATGGAAATGCTGGTCCCCATCACCCCAAATACAGCAATCACTGTCAGCTGCAAAACACCTGCTTACCATGGCTGTTTCCGTCCATTTGACATTCTTGTTAGGTGTTATTGAGATAGATGGCATGCCAACCTTACAAATACTAAGGTTACTATCTTCATTTTTAACCTCAAAAAATTCATCTTTGAAAACCAGAGCTTCCTTTTTCCAAGCAGCATAGATGAATTTTGGAAATAAGTGCATCTTATATTTAGAGAATTCACAGGCAATTCCAATACATAGAGAACATAATTTTTAGACACAGTGTTTCTCCTAGATGGGTCAACTTTATAAGTTGGTTAAAAATAAATTGATATCCCTATGTGTAAATTTAGGACATCATTAGGAGCCTTAAAAGGTGTCTCAGAACTTTGTCTTTTTTGAGGCATCTTCTGTTAAAATTCTGGGAGATAGGTTTGGGCAAGGGGGAAGGAAAACCAGAGAAAAGATTGTTTAAAATCTATCAATATTATGGAAAAATGAGAAATTTATCTAAATGATCTAAAGAACTCAGTCATTTGTTAAATCAGTGTTCATTATATTAGAAGGTACTGTTTGTGCATTTTAAAATAAAATAAAATCACCAAATTAATAAGAAAACAAAAGTCAAATATATATCTGATCTGAAGATAAGGTCTTTTGGATTCATGTTCTTTTTAAAAAAATGTTTTTATTAGTAAATGATAGTTATACAGGGTGGATTCATTCTTTCTGAAATCCAGGTTTTCAGTGCCCTGTTGCCATGGATGTACCCACAAATAGAGAGCATTGTTTATTTATTTGTTTCCATTATTGAATTGTAAGTTCCTAGAGGGCAGAAAAGACAAACATTTGTAAAATATATTCATCAGATCTCATAAAAATTAGGTTTACAAAAATGCATCTATCAAGACCTAATTCTAATTATAGGAATAATTTGGTGGGAAATCCAAATAAAAGATTATATGGAAAACCATGATTAAAGAATGAAGGTGTAGCTATCAGACTAGATACAGAAAGATTTCTTGATAAAAGCTTGCCCAGAAATAAGGGACATACTCAATTCTTTTTGGATAATGTATGTCACTGAGCAGACACACATCACCCGAAGTCATTATTTTTTCTGTTCTGTAAGGTTTTGATGATTTCCTTTTTGGAGGTAGGATTGGATATAGGGTGCAGAAAGGATAGATTAATCCCAGATCTCATATGACTATGTCTGTGAAGAGTCTTAAATCAGGAACTCTTGTCTTCTTGCTTCGAAACCTCATCCCTGTCTCCCTGAACAGGCACTGTAGGTGCTGGGGACAGATGAGGTAAGAAATTCAGGATACTTCCAGGCCTGAAGGAGGGCTGTAGGTTAGGTTATGTGCTTTGGTTTGTACTGAAATGTTATATTAATAGGGTTTGAAATAAATGGATCTTCAACTGATCCCCTAAAACCTTATTTGAAAATTTGCCTTATAATACACTTTGGCCCCAACAGTTTCCTTAGTCACATAATGGTTGTCAGTACCCCAAAAATTATTTTAATGAAATATTGTGCATATTTAAAGTTTAATAATGTAATCAGCAAATGTTTACTGCACATGTATTATGTGACATATTGACGCACATCACTAGGAAGAAGGAATGAATAAGACATGGGCCTCAAAATTCTTGAAGACTCAATGTCACCACAGGGTGATGAGCACAGCCATCAAAACAGATTCAGAGAAACAGAGAGGAGGCAATGGCAGATTGTATCAGCTATGGGGTGGGACAAGGGGATTAGGGAAAGTTGTCTTGAGGAAATGAAATCTGAAGAAGATGGTGATAAGGTTTGGAGGTGGGTAGGAAGGACATTTCAGGCAAAGGGGCCAGTGTCTGCAGAGCCATGGAGGTATGAAACAGCAGTTTGGCTTGAAGATCTGATTTCTGGGGCAAGGGGAGGAGCAGATGAGGAGCTGGAGAGCAGGCCAGGACCGAAATAAGGAGCTGAATATCAAATCCCCTATAACTGAGTAGGTCATCAGGGTAGCCACTAGCTATATGTGGTATTTAAATTTAAAATAGCCAACATTAAATACAATTTAACAATTCATTTACTGAATGCATTGGCCACATTACAAATACTTAATGCCACATGTAGTTAGTGGCTGTCATTTTGGACTGTGAAGATTCCAGTGAATGATCCCAACATCAGAGAAAGTTCTTTGGGATAGCACTACAGAGAGCCTAAACCCTCTAAAAGGAACACGTACATGCTTTGTTTCAGATGAGGTTAATTACATGGTCACTTCAGCTTAAATTGAAGAATAATATTTTATACTTTGAATGTTTGAGGCAGAAAGTTTTAGTTCATGGTCATGTATACTAAATCCATATTTTGTTAGTTTTCCATCTATTCACAGAATTCTCACATGCTTTTCCCTTCTTCCCTTCTTTTCCTCTCCCTGACTTCATTCAAAACAAATTACAAAGTTAACTGAGTGGGAAAGAAATTAATAATAATGTAAATTTGATACTAGGAACTCAGAACTTTATGTGTAATCATTTATTTATTGTTCATTATAACACTGAGGCAGGTAGTCTTAATATTATTTTTTAACTCCCATTGTATAGCAGAGGGAACCAAGATGCACAAAGGTCAAATAACTTGTGAGAATGCACTATTACTAAGTGGAGGTGTCAGAATTTAAATTGTGGCTTCAGGCTTGGGAATTTACCCATATCCACTGTCTCTATGGAATCTGTGAGGGCAGGGGTGAGTGAAGAGACTGGTGTATTGA